GAAATTTTCAGGTAACTTTAGTGACGATTTGTGAAATTAACCCTTTGTCGAATTAATAAACTTGGACGATGTGACTCAATTTAAATAAAATAATGAATTTAATGATTCAATCATGACATAATGACGTATAAATAGCGTCAATTTTTGGCTGATTATCAATGAAACCCGCTTTGCTGCCTAGATTCATTAGCACTTTTATTTTTCGAAAATTACAAATTAAAGATTATAATACGAGGCTCTTTTTTTAATATAAAGGAAAAATGTTTCAACCCTTTGACATAAAACTTGATCAAATCTTATAACAAAACCCTTTCGTTTGCTTCTACGTGTTAAGGGATAGAATTTCACATCGAATAAAAATGTAAACATAAACCAACTTATAAAGGATTGTATTACTCATCTTTATAATGTTGACCTTTTTAAAATGGAACCTCAATTCTTAACATGGTATCAGAACATGCCCAATTTTACAATGTTGGGTGCACCCAATATCGATTTATTCACAGTTGTTTGACATGGTCCACGCTGTGCGTGAGGGAGCATATTAAAATCACACATTAGTTGGTGATATTAACACGATCCACTTAATAAGGTGAAGACAATCCTCCCCTAAGCCGATTTTGTTAGATTGAGTTAGGCCCAATATCCTTTCTAATACTACAAAACCTCAACGAGAAACTTTTCAAAGCTCTTTTTTAGTACTTATCTGGGGAAAACTTATCTGAGGACTCACGCGTGCGTACACAATATTCAAGAATCATGATTCATTTGACAAATATTTTCTTCAAAAATATCTGTTCATACATAAATCATCTTCCAGATTCACGGAATCTGAAGGGCCCACAAGTGACTTTCATGTGTTTAATAATTAAATAAAAAAGTGTTAGGTATATGTCGCTTCAATTGTCGATGTCTTTTACTAATGGACAATAGCAAAATATCAAATTCACCATCAAAAGCAACCTTGCCGACACCCCACTTGCAATTGATATAAAATATTTTATGCTGTAATTATTTCAATGACCATGCTAAGAATAATAATCACATATATTATTTTATGGTTCAAAATTCATACATACGGAAGACATTATTATGAATATTATCAACTAGATCTTCCCTCTCATTGCTTCTCACAAATAGCCCGCCGTCAATGGGGCAAGCCAAAAACAATATGAAAAGGAAAGGAGATCTAGTCATTATATAGGAAATTATAAAGTCGGTCCATTATCAACTATAACCCTAATTAGGATTTACATCATTCCGGCTCACATACTTAAAATTGCCACATTATAAATAATAAAGCATGTAAGGTGTACACCGGCCCACATGGATCACTAGCATATTGGGCCTAATCACGGTATCATTAAAAATCATACATCTAACCCGTAAAATTCGCAATCAAATGTAAGTCCACCTAATATAATTATTAGAGAAAATTACCTAAAACCAGGTATTTAAGTTACCAAATTCAAAAATCAGGTGCATTGTTTATTTTATCAAAAATCAGGTGTTAATTAAAGCCTAATTAAACCTGATTTTCCATCTCATATCTCAGTCGTCTCTTCCCAAGCCCAGTTCCACCCCCTCTATCTCGTCTCTCCCTCCTCGCTCTCTCTTCTCTCTCGGCCTTCCTCGCGTAACGCCAAAAATGGACTGTTGTGCACCTAATTTTCCATCTCATATCTCATTGTTTATTTTTTGATTGTTTATTTTATCAAAAATCAGGTGTAATGCACTGTTGTGCACCCAAAATCGAAACCTTTTCTCTCCTACTTGACCATTACCAGCGCAGCGCCAAAAATGGTGTCATCTGCTGAAAGAAGAAGCGTTTGCAGCCATCAGGCGGAAGGAAAATCCGACTGTCCATAAGGTGTTCGACGAAAGGTCTCTGTTCAGTCCGTTGTTGTTCGGGAAATTCTTTGATCCGTCTGATGCCTTTCCTCTGTGGGAG